CCAAGAAAATTTTTATTCAAAATAAGGTCCGGAGATAGGGATTAGCTCTATCTAGTGGGCCCAACTGTGTAGGAACCTGAAGACGGAGATAGAATCCCATCTCCGAAACGTCGTTTTACGTTTTATATTTACTAGACGATGGATAATATCCAAGAAAATTTTTATTCAAAATAAGGTCCGGAGATAGGGATTAGCTCTATCTAGTGGGCCCAACTGTGTAGGAACCTGAAGACGGAGATAGAATCCCATCTCCGAAACGTCGTTTTACGTTTTATATTTACTAGACGATGGATAATATCCAAGAAAATTTTTATTCAAAATAAGGTCCGGAGATAGGGATTAGCTCTATCTAGTGGGCCCAACTGTGTAGGAACCTGAAGACGGAGATAGAATCCCATCTCCGAAACGTCGTTTTACGTTTTATATTTACTAGACGATGGATAATATCCAAGAAAATTTTTATTCAAAATAAGGTCCGGAGATAGGGATTAGCTCTATCTAGTGGGCCCAACTGTGTAGGAACCTGAAGACGGAGATAGAATCCCATCTCCGAAACGTCGTTTTACGTTTTATATTTACTAGACGATGGATAATATCCAAGAAAATTTTTATTCAAAATAAGGTCCGGAGATAGGGATTAGCTCTATCTAGTGGGCCCAACTGTGTAGGAACCTGAAGACGGAGATAGAATCCCATCTCCGAAACGTCGTTTTACGTTTTACATTTACTAGACGATGGATAATATCTAAGTAAATTTTTATTCAATTGACTCTTCACCATCGTCAAGAAGTTTTAGTCTTGACTATTCTTGGCCTCTTGGCTTTCTGAATTGACTGTACACGTATAACGACTGATTTTATCGTAAAATAAATATGTAAGAAAATATTGTCGATGAGCTAATTTTGGGTTTGCGAAACAAAGGGATTTCTATCCATAGAACAAATTTGCGAATGACGGGGGCGTGGGAAGAATAATCGATGGATGTCAGAAACTACGGATTCTGAGTCGACGGATAACGAAGGCTTGCCTTGGTGTTTATACGCCTTTCAGTTGTGACAGTCGGCATCAGTTCTGTGTAACTCATATTTAAATAATGCAGGCTTTTAAAATTCCGATAAGTTGTGTCAGTTTTGAAATCTTCGTGTGTCAGAATGATCCCAGTGCAGTGTGTCTGTGAGTTCTCTGTCTAGACAGTATAAGTGAGCTAAATCGGAGCTCGCAAGCTGAGTTACGTCAGAGGAGCTTTTACGACCACGGAGGACCTATCGGTTCTATCCTCTTCTGTCGTTGGTAGAGAGATCAACCGAGGTTCTCAGGGCTGATTATTATGTTGGGTATGGATTCAGCTACAACCCAGTGTAGTAGTTTCAGTATTGTACTTCCCAGGCCAAATGGCGTAGCACGAATTTCACGAAATCATCTGTAGGCCTAGTTTTTCTCACGCATGAGGCATGTTCGTGTGACCTACATCAACATGTGCAGTATTGACCATCGGATTATGCCCTTGTGTCTACACAGGGGTCAGGTCAACCTATAGATAGTCACATGACACAGGCAGTAACTTAAAAAAAATTGCAGTGTTATTTTATAGTTGTACAATTAATCTTCGAACTGTCAATTAATTTGGCTGATTTCTTAACCCGATCAGGTTTTATTCCTCTAATAATCTCGTCTGCCGTCGTCTTTCGTTTCTCTTTACAGTTCGTCTGTATTTCGTTTTTTATTTCGTGCAAATTCATCGTCTGTCTCTATAAATTTTGTGAAAGTGGTAGATTCTTTGATTTTGGACCCCAAAAGTATGGTTAGGTTAGATTTTAAATTTTAGTAGGTTAAAATACAAAGTCTTTAGTGCTTAATTAAACAACAGGTCATGATGACGTATGACGTAGCTTTCTTAATATTAGTTCTACATGAAGGTGAATGGTTTGGTTAAAGCCCCGGGGGCAGGACAGGATGTTCTGTGAGGTCCTGGGCCAGTCTGGGTTACAGTGGTTGTAACGAAGTCTCTGCCCTTGCCGGGTATCAAACCCCAGTCTTCTAGCCCATGACCTAGTAACGATATAGTCCAATGACTAATCTGACTCAATTCGACTTCAGGTTTTTACTTCGGCAGTTAACGAAGATTCTGTGTCGTGTAGTCTCGTAGAAGTTGATCTAAGTTCATCGCCCTGCTGATGGAAGCAGAAAATCCCTCTGAAACGTCGGTAAATTTTTACAAGGCAAAATATCCCACAATACAGTCAATTTCGGGCTACCAAAAGTTTTTAAACTTTTAATTTTGATTGGCCCCCAAAAGATTTTCTGCACACACAATCACACCCGTTTTTTAATGCCCGTCCTGTAAATATCATGTAAGAAGCGGTGATACTCGGTTTGTTTTTTGTATTTTATGTGCCTTTATTCACAATCGTAAAAAAAAAAAAGATTTCGGAGAATTAACGAGTTGCAGATCCTTATACCCATATTTATTTTGACGTCTGATAGTTTATATTATTTATCATTCATTTATTTTTTTGAACGAATGTGTTGTTTTGTAGTAATTATCGGGAGCTTTTATTTAGCTTTGCTGTTTCTCCTCCAGCTGCCGCCACAGTAGGCCTGTGTCTGCTCTGTATTGTCTGCGTTCACTTACGCAGGAGTTAGATCTCTTCTGAATGCGTGATTGAACTTCAGTTAAACTTTTTCCAATTGAATGCTAGCAAATCCAAGGCCATACGCCTGGATATTTTTATAATCCACACATCAAACAAATTCAATGCAAGAGCTTGAAAAATGTTATTGTATTAAAAATGTGTGATAATTCACTTCATATTTTAAGCAGTTGTAGACGTTTTATTTTGTAATTAATTTTAATTAACCAAACCGCAAATCTGTATTATTATAAGGTATTGTCCACACATACTCCTACAAAGATTGTTAGCACTTACATGAACAAATAAGGTGGGATTATGAAATAACACGCAACTTGTGAATCTAAATATTTGAGAACTTCTCACCATCTTCCCATTACTTGAAGTAGAATTCCGGATGTGCTTAAATCGGGGATATGCGGCCATCAAGACGGGACTATTGTAGTTAATTTGCAGTTTTATGCCGGATTTATCAGGATACTTGCCCCGGAACTTTATTAACCCAATAAAACACAGATGCATTTTCTAAAAATATACAAATTTACTCTTTAATGTAAAATATAAAAAGAGAGAGAGAGAAGAGAAAGTTGGGGGAGTAGGGATAGGCACTATTGATATAAATTAGTAAAATGGTCGTCTAAAAACTATTTAATAATTCAGTCCGTACCGCAAAGAAAACACAACGGGTCACCATTACAAAGATCAGATACGTAATTCTGGTTGAGGAAATAATCACGATTTTTTTCAAGAATCATATGGAAGTAATAAATACTCTATGTGAGAAAAAAGGTTACATATATATTTACCATTTGGCTTTAAAGTATTAAATACCTTTTAATTATATTTATATTCATAAGATGGTAAAGTTGCGCCATATTGTGATATAATAAGTATATATTAAATCTTGTCCGTCTAATCACAATAAATTCTTATTAAATATTAAAATATTACAATAATTAACATTTAAAATATTTAAAATATTAAATGATGTTCTTTATCGAAATATTCGATTTACATTAGACCATCATTTTTCATGTTTCACGACATGTTTCAGTTCCTAAAAGAACCATCCTCAGGTGTATATAATTATATAAAGCTTCAAAACGATAAATATTGTAATATTTTAATATTTAATAAGAATTTATTGTGATTAGACGGACAAGATTTAATATATATATATATATTTATATTCTTCAGTAATTTAAATAATCTAATGAAAAAGTGTCCTGTAATTTTTACCTGGTTTAATTTTTAAAAAAATTAAGTTTTATTCATTTTTTTAAAATAACATTTCCACATTTCCTGATATGATCTTTTCTTATCTACTTGTGAGTCTTCATTATGTAGGGTTTCCGACTAGCATTGGAGTTAAGCGCGTTATCTGTTAATTCAGTTGTGTTGTTTGGAACAACTGTGCCCCAACTAGAACAATGACATTTATGAATAACAAACACTATGAAGCATGGAATTTGTTCGGACATGTGTGATAGGAGATGCATTGTGGAAACATTATTTTAAATTCAACTACAACAAAATGAACTCGACAGCCTGTTAAGTACGTACAACGTCAGTTACAATGTTCAACGCAGACATCCCATAATAACAGACCTGATTTTCATCAGGTATGTCAAAATATTGTGCATTTGGTTTGTATCTCATCTGTTGGCCCCGGGCCTAATACGAGTGTAAGATGTAAACTGTGAATTTGTACTGATGGAGGCGCGTGTTTTATATGAGGTACAGCGAGAGCAGTCCCCTCTTTCCTCGAAACTGACTGGCCAATTTCTCCTACTTTCTCCTTCCTCTGTCGTGTATAAAGTATGCACTTCCCACCACCGCCACTTCAACCCTGAATATGATGACAGTGTGTTTCTACGAAACGTTGGCGTCTACTTGAGAGTCTACATGACGTCACAACCCAGAACAGCATCTTTATCGTCGTGAGAACCTCATCTGGTCCAAGATCCAATCCTTTAGCGGACTGCTGTTCTGACACGATTATATGGAGTCTGAGTTCGATGCCAGACAGATTGTTTCCTCAATAGCTGAACTACTGTAAGCTTTTCAAGGGGCATACATTTAGGTAGAACGTTAGTTACTAGCCAAATGTATCGGCCCGGAAAAAGAAATTAGTGATGGAAACGTATTTTAACGACGTGAATATTTACCGCCCCCCGAACGGTCTCCTCTTTTTCAGGGGTCCTTATTAGGCGTGGAGTTTGATACGCCTACCTCAGTGTATCATATTTTCGAAATAATGGTTTTGTATTTAACATTTAACTTGTAAAATTTTTACAGCAGTGTTTAAATTGTTGTGGAAATGTGTGTGTCATTTTCTTTTTCCTTAACTCAAACATCACGTGGTTTGAGCGAATCAGCATGCTGGTTATCTTGCTGAACTGCGTTACCCTCGGCATGTATCGGCCGTGCCTGGACGATAATGGCTGCGACTCGAACAGATGCAAGTTGTTACAGGTGAGTCTACATCACACGCCGTCTAACTGGACCGCTGTCATTTTATTAATAACGATTATTTTATATGTAATTTCTTTGTCGTCACGTTATCTCCGCAGTTCTTAACGTGTCCCGATTAAAAGGATTAAAAAAAATTCATATTTTTTTATCGAACGCCCCTGGAATATTCTACCCTCCCGATTACATACATAGAGCAGCTTAGGAATTCGGTTTTCCGATATTTTTTTGCAAAAGTTTTAACCATTTATATACTCTACAATTATTATATTCAATTCTGTTGTTCACAATTTCCCTTTGGTGGTTTTGTAGCACGCATGATTTGGCATTATGCATCGTAGTTAAGACTACTCTGTTCGTTCAAGTAAAAGACAAGATGATAAAATGTTTCGAAGGATACGCATTTAAGCAGCTTATATTGCCAACGCTGTAAATATTATTTCCCAGCGACATCGCTTTGAAGCTCTCTGTATCAATTCCTGTGTCGGTAACGTCTTTGATTTACGTAGTATACGAGTTTGTTTTTCTACTGCTCGCAAGTTAACGTACGTATTCGCCCCGACTGTAGAATGGGGGCGATCGCTGTGAGAGGAATCATTTCTGTCAGTTCAGTTTGGAGATGGATGGAACGTTCTGGTATTAGAAGTGTTGAAGAATTGTGACAAATTTTGTGATTCGTACGTAGTGTTTTAAATCAGACTAAATTTTACGTTCTCATAACCTAACAGTAATGTTTAACAGAACACATTTTATTATTCTGGAGTACGCAATGCTGAAGGAAAATGTTCTTCAAAGCCCCTCTCTCTCTCTCTCTCTCTCTTACCAGGTGATCAGCTGCGTACTTGCAAAAAAAAGTGTTCAATTTGGAATGAAAGTTTGAAGATTCTTAAAAATCTTGCAGACCGGTTGAATCCAGTTCAGGAAGCCGTTCTATTCCTAGCTTCAGGAGCTGCTAGATAACGCCTCGTCTTACCGAAAGAATGTGCAGACTGCTTGGAGTATTCATACCTGCGCTCTGTATACGCGATACGCAGATTTACGACCGAGTATTTAAAGCTGCACCAAACACGTGTAATAACGCCACCACGAATTCACATAAATACACATTATAACGGGGGTAAACAAATTTTTGTTAGCGAGCCGAATCAAGCTTTACGTACTTTAATACAGATCCGTATATGACTGTCTTCTGGGTTGTAGCCCTTTGTCGTCTGGTAGAATTTTACCGACGTTTCAGAGGTTCTTGATATCTTCATCACCAGGGCGATGAGTAATCAGACTTCACGGCGCTCTAACCCAGAATACAGTCGTCTTCGTACTGACAGCCGTGAAAACCTCAAATCCTACTTCATGGTAAGGCTACTACGAAGACACTTCACGGACCAAGGGAAAAGTCCACAAGTAAACAACTGAACCACATGAATCTAATATACAATCAGACAGCGTATTTTTAATATAATCTTTCAATATTATTATTCTCTCCTCTCAGTAGTAGTCCTTTTTACATTCAGGTTTTCCGATTAAAATTTTATACGCATTTCTCATTTCTGGCTTGCGTGTTAAATAACCCATGTGCCCCACCCTTTTTCATTTGTTCACTCTTCAGCCAGTTATTGAAATAATCCAAATCAAATTGACCACACAGCTGTTTCGCCTGCAAATAAACCACATCGTATGTCGATCCGTCTCGAATCATGAAATTCAATCTGTGTCGAATTGGTTTCCGTACTGACATATTTGATTAAAATTGAGATGATTCCATCCAGTTTTGGGATGAAAATTACATTATTATTCAGCACAACTTACATTTAAATTGTATTTCCATGAACTTTAGGTACACTGGGAGTGAGTCATAGAGAAAAAGTATTTATAACATATTTTGTGGAACTATATCGGTCCAAATTTCTACACTTCGAAAATATTTATGTTTAAAAGAAAATGGTATTTTGCGATTACTATACTTATATACCTTATTCTGTCTTATTCTATCTCCTGTCCAAACGCCTTGAATAACCCCACCTGATCAAGAAATTCCCCGCTTTCTGTGGAAAAAGAAAGTTCATGAAATTGTTCTGAAGAACGCCTTTGAGCCAGATTAGTCCGGTCGACACTTAATGTCTGTCTTACTTTCAAGCAATAGATTGAAAACCATTATCGAAAATATGTTTCGAGTTTAATGAGATTTTTCCACAGAGTAATGAGTGCTGATGTATATTTACATTAAAATTGATTCGCTATGCAAGTGTTTCACTAATAACGCCGAACATTTGTGTGGCTACAGACTGATTAAACGAATGGTTTAGTTTTAAAGCAAGTTAAAACTGAAACCCGCAATTTCAAACTTCCTGCGGTTTTATGTTGGTGGTATTTTGTTTTAATTTAATTAAAATTAAAAAAATTCGTATTTAAAATCCGTAGTTCCTGGAAATCCTATTTTTCAACATGTCCCACTCTTGTTGTGCAGTAGTTTATTTGAAGGTAGCGAATATTTAATGGCTGTGTTTGAACACGAAAAATTCAAACTTAATTCCACTTTCCTATGTTTTATTTCGCAGACACGGTTATGAATTAATGTCACATGTTTAATTTCGTATTCTTTAACACAGAATCCTGAGCTTACAGCTATGTCATTGTAATAATCAGCCTTTAAAAGCTGAAATTCTTCTAGATATTTAATAATTCAGTCCGTACCGCAAAGAAAACACTTCTCCACAGATAAACCGGGAATGCTGTTTAAGGAAATTATCCTTCTTGTACTGGAAATCCCACGAATCTCAAAATACAAAATTAAGTTTTATTTATTATTGAAACAGGTGGGAAATATATTTATCATTGGCTAATTTCAAGCATTTTATTCGTCTGATGTAAATTTATATTACAAAGTACTACAAGGTTTGAAGTGGACATGTATTATTTATAACTTTATATTTAAAAGAAAAAGAAAATTGTGGACGAGTTAGCATCCCTGCGTCTTATTATTTCGACTGCTTTTATATTAATATATTTTATACATGTCAATCGACCTATGTTCTTGGGCAACAATTTTTTTTCTGGGATTTGAGGTTCTCACGGTGTTAAAGACGGCGATGTTCTTCTGGTTTGTGACGCCGCGTAGACTCGTAGGTAAATACCGACGTTTCGAATAAACAACTTGTCTCCATCTTCATGGCTAAAAAGATGGAGTAGACAGACAGTATTTTTTTCTCTTAAACGTCTACCTGCTAGTCTGCACGGCGTCACAAACCAGTAGAAAGGCATCACCAAAAGTTATTTTTATTTTCACAAAATGTCACTTTACATACCTTGTTGAACCCAAATGCATCGTACAGTCAACACCAAACACCGTAAGTTGCTCTTTTTTTCCCCAGATCTTCGACGACTTCATCTTCGCATTCTTTGCGTTGGAGATGTCAATCAAGATGGTCGCGATGGGGGTGTACGGCAAGGGAACTTACCTTGCAGACTCCTGGAACAGGCTAGATTTCTTCATTGTCATTGCGGGGTAAGTTTCTGTCACAATCAGAAATCTCACATTTATTACAACAGTTACCAGATGTCAGGACCATATGCTCATTGGTACAGTCATTTCCTCATGGACATCCAAAAATAGAAAAATGTACGCATTTTGATATTTTTAATGCCCATGGGAAGATTAGATGCATAAGTAATTAAAATGTCTTCATACTTCAAGTACTACGAAAGGCATGCAGTCGTACATTCAAAGCAATTATTTATCTTAATCCGTCTGATCACAATATTTAAAATTTCTTATAATTAAGATAATAAAATATCATTCATTTTCCATATCGATTGATCGATTTACATTTCGGAACATTTACACAACATGTTTCGGTTTTTATAAAACCATCATCAGGTGTAAAATATATCTAAGAACTTAAAACTCAATTATGATTTCTGTAGT